ACGAAATTAGATTTTGTTCAACTACGAAATACATATAACTTTAGAGACAATTGATGTCGTCACTGATTGAAGTAAAATAATTAGCGACAATATAATTTTGTCGGTAGTAATAATCTTTTTAGTGACAAAACATACTATTATCTACAAAAAATATACTTTTTACGATAAATAAATGTCATAAATGTTTAAGCATTTGGGGACGATTTTTCTTTTTGTAGTTAATATAATACTTTTAGCGACGAAGCACTAAATCGTCTTTGTATACTTTTAGAGACACACATTTAGTGACGATTGAGTGACGAATTATTTTTCGTCTCACAAGTTTTTTAGTGACGAAATATGATTTATAAATGACAAACTTATTTGTCACTGATAATCGAATTTATTGTAGTTAGCTAGCTATATATGATGTTAATTTGACAATAATATTTCTACGTAAAAAGAAAAAAACATTCAGTAACTAACTGGACTACTGGAGCTGTGCGTTGGATTATGCTCTAATCAAGATTTCTAGATGTTAATGGGAGGATTAACCAATCATATTTTTCCTTTCCAACTTTAGCTTAACATCACAATCCATACTTTCCACGTATTTTTAAGATCATAAGTATCATCAAAATTAAACAAACAAATTTAAATCGAGGAGAACTACTTGTAGCTTGTAGCTCCAAAAAGGATAATAAGTTTCATCAAAATTGAAGGAACAAATTTAAATCGAGGAGAACTACTTGTAGCTTGTAGCTCCAAAAAGGATCACCATCATATTAAACCGGAGGCGGGGGTTCTAAATTTCCTTTAAAGAGTTGATAGTGGGGTTTGAACCCACAACTCTAACGTGGAAAATATTTGTTGGGGGTTCACAAGTTAACATACATATATATTTATTTAATTTTTCAATACAAATATAGAATCTATAGAAAAGCTATTGGGTTCATCCAAACCAACAAACTCCACCTAGCTCCGCCTCTGTATTAAACCCCAGATTTAGATATATATCTTCCTCAGATATGACAGCTAGCATTCTTGAGTGATACTGCCATATATATAACACATTTATTTTAAAATATGAGATTTTTCCATATTTGAAAATTATTTTATCGTAGCATCTCAATTTTACTCTCATTAATGACTTGACTTGTTGGAACTCTAACCACTACTCATTTAAAATAAATAGATATATGGAACTATCATACTCATCAATGCCATATTTTGATACTTTGCATAGATTTTGCTTAGGGAAAAGGGTTCCAAATATTTTTGAATTATTTGAAATAAGTCAATTTATCTTCTATTACATTTTTGGCTTAAAATATCATTGTTGTTAATCAACTAGCTCAAAAATGTTTTATAACTGACCAAATAGCTCAAAAATACATTGTCTTTGTGACTCCAAAACAAAGAAAAAAGGATTAATTTGTCTTTGAGCTATTTAAAATGGAACTACAAATTAAGGTACTATAGATTACTTTATAGAGTTACAAAAACTATTAGAGTAATCAAAGTCCATAATACTCCCTCTATTCAATAATAGTTGTTCATTATTACTTGATACAAAGCTTAAGAAATATAAAGGATAGGGGTAATTATACCAAATCACCCTTAATAAATACTCCCTCCGTCCACTTTTATTTGTCATGTTGCGCTTTTCGAAAGTCAATTTGACTTATTTTCAAAGTTAAATTAGATTACATTAATTCGATTTTTTAAACAAAAAAATTTAGATATTCAAAAACTATACGAAAAGTACTATATATTGCAATTTTTTACATATCAATATGAAGATTAAATATATCCTAAAATGTTAGTCAAAGTTTTTAAAGTTTGACTCTAAAAATGGAAAGTATGACAATTAATAGTGGACGGAGGGAGTATAAGTCATCTAAATATTGTTCAGTCTGAGCCTAGACTTGCACGACTTTAAAACGCGTTACTAGTTGGTAAGACGTACTTACTGATTTACCCAACATATCTTCTATGTTTTTGTCGATATGTGACTTCTTGTCTTAAGTTGGGGCATCACATATACCCCTCTATGGACTAATCGAGACCGATATGAGACTTCTTGTCTAAGTTGGGGCATCACATATACCCCCTCTATGGACTCATCGAGGCCGATATGAGACTTCTTGTCTTATAAGTTGGGGCGTCACATATACCCACTCTATGAACTCAGCGTCCTCGCTGAGGTTTGCCCCACCGTATGAGATATGCCATCATGGGTATTTGCCCTGAGTTTCTTACCATAAATACTCATCTTTGATGTTTGCCCTGTTGGGTGCTAACACTGGAGTGGCTCTCATGACATTTGTAACGGCCCAACCCGCTAGTGATATTATCCACTCTAAGTTTAGACCCACATGACTTTAAAATGCGTCACTAGTTGGTAAAACATGCTTACTTATATATCCAACATCTCTTCTGTAGTTTTACTGATGTGAGACTTCTTGTCTTGAGTTGGGGTGTCACAAGTATTTAATAGCAAAGATAAAATAGACCAAAAAAAGTAAATTCTCAATGACTATATATATAGTACTAACATACTAACACTTGCTATTTATGAGGATGAACTCATAGGTTCAAATTCCTTATTCGTATCAGTTCTCATGGCTGTTTTCCAGACATTAGTATTAGTAGTAGAGGTTTACCATTTGCTTGGAATGGCGTCTCTTCCAAAGTAGTATCTGTATAGCCAGTATAGGCTATTACACTCACATCACATATATAGTCCATAGTATGTTACTCTTTGTTTCACAATATTGATCTGACTGTGAATTTAATTAAGCCGATTCAGATGTAGTGGAAGAGCAATCTCTTCGTGTAGTGTTGGATGAATGAGTAAGTGTTTGACTTTCGCTCAAGCTCCGCATCTCGTCATACTTGTCTCTTAACCCTTGAAACTTGAGCTCATCATCATCATCATCATGGGATCTTGATTCCAAGTTAAACTCAGGAAGGTCAAGATGATCTTCAAGAATGCTGACTACTGCAGACATGGTTGGTCTAAGTGCTGGAGATGGATTGGTACATAGCAGAGCTACGTTTATCATCCTTAGAGCCTCATCCTTCTTGAAATCTGAACTCAATGTTTCATCTACTAGTTCCATCAGTTTTCCATGCTTTTGTAGAACAAGGGCCTGAATAAAATGCAAAGATACTGGTTCAAAAGTTTGAAACATAGGAATTAATATCAGGGATAATGATTCCTTACCCAATCCAGAAGACAAACAAATTTCTCATTAGGGCGATATTTCATATTGTTCTTCCCAGCAACAATCTCTAACGCAACAACTCCAAAGCTGTAGACATCTGCTTTGTAGGTTAAGTAGCCCCATAGTGCATATTCAGGTGCCATATATCCTCTGCAGAACAGAGTGAAACGTTAGATTCATGCATGTGTTATTTCTAAACGTGGCATCAACTTCATGTTTGATATTTCAGTATATGAAGAATGGTTGATTGTGATGAGATACAAGTTAAGTTCATTGGAAGAAACTTTAAGATTTGAAGAGGATACATAGGCCAGAAACAATTTCTATCACTCAAATTGAAGTAATGCAATCAATACCAGAAATATGATCAAGCTTTCAAATGAGTCTTCTTTAAGGGCAGCCAGGCCATTATGTTCTAGTCCTTGTAACTTCACCACCCTTTTTGGTTAAGAATATGTAAACTATTGCTAGTTACCTTGTATAAGATATCGAAAATGCAAGAAAGAGAGAATGTAAGGGTTCTAGCAATGTTAAATGTATATATGCTGCATGGATGAGAACAACATACATCCGTGCCATAATATATATTTCTTACTAAATGAACACAAAACATAAACATGAACAAGAGAACTTGTCACAAAACTCACATGGTTCCAGCAATTCTAGTGCTGATATGTGTTTTATCCTCATCGTCAAGTTTGGCCAGACCAAAGTCAGAGATCTTTGGGTTTAGTTTCTTGTCAAGAAGTACATTTGTTGCTTTGATGTCCCTATGAACAATTTTTAATGACGATTCTTCGTGTAGGAAAGCTAAGCCTTTTGCTATCCCAATGCAGATTTTTTGCCTTGTTGGCCAGTCTATTTGGAGACGATGTTCTTCTGGACCTGCATTTTAATGAGAACTAAGAATCTATTCATACCTTCTCTTATTCACACACACATAGAATCATATATTGGCTTCTCATTTTGAACTCTTCCATTAATTACAAAAGAACAATATTTCTTCTTATTTCATTTAACTTATTTTCTGTTTGACTTGTAAGTTGTAACTGAAAACAATGAGCAAAGATAGTAAATTACCAAATAAAGCAAGGGCGAGGCTATTGTTCTCCAAGTACTCATACACCAATAGAAGTTGATTTCCTTCAGCACAACATCCATATAGTTTGACAAGATTTGGGTGCTGTAAACCAGAGATCATACCTATCTCATTTACAAACTCACGGTTCCCTTGTTTCGATTTGGATGAAAGCTGCTTAACAGCAATAACGGTACCATCCAGTAGTGTACCCTGTTTATTAATTAAAAAAAAAGAGAAGAAATAAACAGGTCATGGATGTCTATGCATAACTTCCATTTTTAGATGTTGTAGCTAAACAAAAAAGGCTCTAGGTAATTGGTTTGTAGTGTGCCCTGCAGTGGACAGTGGACCTATAGTTCTGACAATGGTTTCAATTGAACCCATCTTTTTCATTTATACTGTAGTAATATGAGAAAATCTTTAAAAATATACTCCACCCGTTTCGATTTGTTTGTCTTACTTTCCTTTTTGGTCTGTTTAAAAAAGAATGTCTCTTTCCTTTTTTGGCAACTCTTTAATTCTAACTTTCCACATTACATGTTAAGATTACAAGATTAAATGATATTTTGGTACATTCTATCTATCTTTGATTTAAGACCATAGGATTGAAAAGTTTTCTTTACTTTCTTTAACTTCGTGGCAACTGACAAGTCAAAATCAGACAAACAAATTGAAACAGGGGGAGTAATAAATATTAAGTTTTAAACTCATAATTTCAAAGAATCAGAACCTTGAACCCATTAAGTTAAATTCTTGGATTTGCCTCTGCTCGCATGTGTATGTAAAAGACTGCATGGGATGAGGGCATTGGTATGTGGAGAGAGAAAGAGTAGAAAGCTTGTGAGTGATCAGATTGAGATGCACCTTGTAGACAGAGCCAAAACCACCTTCCCCAATTTTATTTGCAGCATCAAAGTTGTTTGTCGCAGCTTTGATTTGTCTGATGGTAAATACACCAGTCAGTAGATCTAGTCCTCTTAATTCTGTACATGTGCAGGGGGAAAAAACATTTAAAAGGTGTAACACTTCCATATAATGTGGAAAATCATGTACTAATATGAAATGTGCATCTCCATAATGTTCTTGTTTTCAAAATCCATCATTTTATTTTGATAAGAACTTTTCAGGAAATCATAGAGAACACAATACAGTAAGTTCTATCTATTTAAGAAGTAAGACACAAAATAGGCTGGTACTGAAGCATCACCTTCTTCCTTTGACATACTGTTTCTGCTTCTCCTCCAAGCAACAAAGAATATTGTAAAAAGGAGAACTAATGAGGACGCCACTACTCCAGCAATGATGTGAGCCATCTTTTTGTGATTTGAAGGGGGCTTGAAATCTATGATATAGAAAAAGGAAGAGGAAGAGTGTAAAATGCACTTACATTTGTTTTTATGCTTTTAATCTTAAAGTGATTTGAGGAAAAAGATGAAGTCTTTTCTCTAGGCTCTCTGAGAATAATTAACATGTGGAAGCAGTATCATAATTTCATCATGTAAAAGGTCACCAAGGTAATAGAATAAAGTGTATACAGTGCGTCTAAGAGAGTCTGTGAAAGAGAAATAAGTGAACCAAAGGGTAATAGTAGTGTTACTAGCTTCAAAAGAGATGGCAGAAACTAAAGGGCCATAGCTTCCTCTTCTAGGGACAGCTGTTGTTCCTTTCCCAGCATACTGAAAGCGCACTTCTAGAATGCCATCTTCTACAGATGTATTGAACTTTCTTGTCAAAGCTTCATCAACTCCTCCAGCAGCAGTTCTAATGTCAAAATCTTTGAGCTTCCTCTCACCCTGCATCCAGTTAAATTGTTAGCAAACAGCACCTAAACCTGGATTCAATAATCAGATTAATATTTAATTAACCTGAATATAGACATCAAACATCCGTTTTCCGAGACTCTGGAAAGATCGGTTATCTCTTATAACAATCTCTGCAAAGTGCAGTGTCACAGTGTAGTTTCCATTTGCTAAACAACGTCCATAGTAAGTTAGAGATAAAGCTGAGAGCCGAGCTGTCGTGTATAGTTCAGAGTTATGTCCCTTAATTGAAGATATATTAGTTGCCTTGTACTCGTTCAATGCTATGGGACGATCCCAGAAGTCCCCGGTGTTGCTGGATCCCCAGCTCTCTTTCCAGTAAACAAACTTTGCAGCACCTGCGGAATCTTCATCTGCTTCGTAAGTGATGTCCCCTATTGTCACACTCTCTCCACCACAATTTATGTGCACTGAATACCAATCTGTATTTAATTAATACAAATTAGCATTGCCTCTATGTAACATGACAGACACAATAAGAAACGAAATTTTCAAGTGCTCTAAATCTTAGATAGAGAGAAAATGAATCATAGTCTTGTAGAAGGATAAACTTACTCTTTGAACAATCATTACTTGACAAGCATTTCCCAAGTTCTCTGTATCAAGTTGGAAAGAGGGTCAGAAGGCATGAACCAGTTGATAATTTTCTAAAGAGAAAAACGATGCATCTTGTGTCCTATAAGACAAGTTAAATAACTTACGATTTTTTTGTTGAGTTATAGCTTTTGAACAAGTTTCTGATAAGAAGAAGGAAATGTGGCTTAGAGATAACAACAGCTGGTGTCCCAATGACAAAAATGAGTGGGAAGAAGACATACAGGGTTTCCCGACAAGTAGTTGGCACAGAGCTTTCGTTGAAGTTGTTGTAAGATAGATCTATGACACTGCAAATGGAGCATAGCAAAATCAACAAGTGTGTTGCACAAAAAGAAATTATTTTAGGGATACGATGTGTATGAAAATTTGGCATTTATGGGCTATATGCCTTTAGAATCTTAAGTTCTTGAGATAAAGAGAATCTAGCATTCTCATTGGCATGAGTAGGTTATAAGCAAAACCGTGCTAATCAAAAGTAATAAACTTACTATTTGGAATTTCTACTTTTGATCCAATCTTGAATTGGTCCAGTAAGTCTATTGCTTGTCAGGTACCTTGTGAAGCAAAATCTTTAAATCAACAGATATCAATTTGAACAAAAAACTTCAAAATAAATGAATCAAACTCTCAAAAACCTATGAAATGTCAGAAACTAAAATTTCTTTACAATAAACGTGTTTGAAGACTCAGCACATTGGCATCCAAGTCTCAAGTTTAAATTTATCATATGTATTTCAATTAAGGAGAAGAAGTTGGCTTTGAATTTATGGGTGGCATAGAGTCAGGCGAGCTAAAAGAAGAATTTAGAGTATGTTAAGTTTGTCACTTACAAGAGCTCCAGTCTGTCCTGGTTCTCCAGATCCGGGATCTGTCCTTCAAGCCTGTTGAAGCTTAGATCTCTGCCCCAAGAGAAAACCATATTCAATCCAGAAACAATACTTTACCAACTTGAGATTAAGTAATGAAAGAATTTCGGCAAGGTTGAAATGCCACATGAGAGGGAGCTTAAGTGCTAACAAAACCATGTATTTATGAGCCAAAAAATTTCCATTGATCTTCTAGACTGAAAGAAGACGATCAATCAGTGAAAGCATATGCATAGTAGAAACCATGCATAAACATGTGCAATTAAAGGGTCACAAATGTTGGAGGTACTCCAGAAGTGCTGTATCATCTGAAATAGAACTACAATGATGTTCACATTTAATTAAGACTCAATTTCAATAACCCCTCCTTCTGTTTCCTAGTCTAAAAACATTGAGCAGAATTCGCTACAATAAAAGAGAAGACCCGCATACATGATTCTGTTAAAACAACTGGTTATGGAATGGGGAAAGAAAAGGATTTCAAGAAAGGAAAGAAAACAAATCAGAGTGAAGGTAGGTAGGTGGAAAACTTACAGAATTTTCAATTGAGGCATATTAGCTATGTAAGAAGGAATCTTCCCTGATAAATTGCAGCTCCTCAACATCCTGCAGTCCCAAATTAGTCTCAGGAAAGAGAACACTGTCAAAAACTATGGAAAGTAATGGAATTACTTACAATCTTGTTAGGCCTGTCATGTTCTCAAGCGGTGGAAATTCTGAAGCACTTCCAGTCAAGTCACTGACTCTTCTGTAAAGACATCAAATTAATATAAAATCCCAACCAAATAAAAGGGGACACCATAATAAGCAACTAAAGAAAGTATGCAACCTAGAAAACAACTCACAATTCCTTCATTTCAGTCAAGACAGAAATGCTTGGTGGTACAGGTCCTTCAAAACCCGAAGCTTGAATCTCTCTGTTAACCAAGTATGAAGTCTGATATAATTTAAATTTAACTTGGAATTACTAGGTTTTACACATCAAATGGTGTGAAAATGCTCACAATTTCTGAAGGTTTTTCAAACTCTCAAAACTAGGAAATATTCCAGTGAAGTTGTTACCGCTCAGCCTACTGCATTGATACCAAAAGGGAAAGAAGGAGAATTCAGAAAAACAGGAATGCAATAGGACCTAGAGGACATTATATCAGAAGTATATTCAGAGTTACTCACAGATCTGTTAATTTTGTGAGTTTATTGACTTCCTCGGGCAACTTACCTGTGAGATTATTAAAACTAAGAGTCCTGCACAAAGCAAAAGGTAACTGACTAGTCAAGATATTCTAAAACCTTTCAATTCATCTAAAGGAGGCTAGTTAGGAAGGCCTTACAGACTCTGCAGATTAACCATGTTTCCGAGTTCTTTTGGAACAGTTCCATTAAACATGTTATTCTCCAAACTCCTGAAAGTTTTGCAGTCCAGCTCAATAAATGTTAAAATAAGGACTACTTATCCTCATGGGTGTGGTGAAATCCAAGAGAACATACATATAACGTAGTGTAGTCATGTTTCCCAAGTATTTAGGAATCGGCCCAGAGAGTTGATTCACCATAACAGACCTGAATTATTGGATAGTTCAAATTAAAGGGACCTTTTTATGTAATGTCTAAATTAAAGTATTAAGTGCAATTAAAGTGCAGCTCACATAAATTCCAGTTTGATAGATGCCCATTCAGGGGGAATAGTACCACTCAAATAGTTGAGCGCGACATCACTGCAGGACAGATGTTGAACAATATATTTCTCAGGTAAAAAAAGTAAAACTCCTAAGAGTTTGAAAATATAGATCAAAGTCAGTTAAACAGTACATTGTCTTGAGGTAAGGCAACTTGACCAGGGAGGGAGGGAGAACACCTGCAAGATCTTGTCCTTTGAGTAATCTGTTAACATTATAAGAAGATATTAGAAGTTTGCTTTACATAATCCAAATATGAATGAAAGGTTGTTATTAATTCAAAATTTCCGGATCCCCATGTGCTAATCAAACTGGTTTCAGAAAAATTGGCTTAATTAAACATACTGACTAACAACAAAAATAAAGTTATTTATATTAGGAAAAAATCTCAACCAAATAAGTCCTTATTTCTTTCTTTATAGAGAAAGAGAAAGTCAGCTAGCTTTATGCTTTTGAGGAATTTCTTAGTCAACCATATCCCATGACTAATATACTGAATGGTTTCAATATTCTCATCATTAGGAAATTCATTTTTTATTACAATTATATGCTCTCATTAGCCCTAAACAATGTTTTGACATAGAGGAAGCTAAGGAACATATATGTTGTGTTATGTGACCAAAAAAATAGTTATATGATGACTTTACTGTTATAGCTGGTAAATAAAGTTCATTTTCCTGGGAAAAAAAATCCTCTTTACCTTGGGGATCATTTTATAGTGTTTAGGGGTATAAAAGTAGGTGCCTATGCCACTCATATCAGGTGTTCAATGTTTTCCTGATTTGTTCTTTTGCATCAAAAGTTGATAATAATGTATAATTTTTTTTACCCTCTCTAGGAACTCCTACCTTTTTTTGTACCCTTGGTCAGGGGCGGCTCAACGTAATTTGAGGCCTAAAACAAAATTTAAGTGAGGCCTAAAATCTATATAAATATCAAATATAGTTGTTTATTTTTTAAACTTTTTTAAGTTGCAAATTATTACTTGATATCTTTTCTTAAAATGATTTTTTTTTAATATCATTTTTTAATTATTAATTTTAAGTAATATTTTATCAATTCAACATTGAAAAATATTCTTTTACTGAGGCAATCATTATATAAATTGTTAACATAATACTATAAGTAATAAGTTGACAAACTTCACATAAAGATAAGAATAAGAACCATAAAATATGATACAAGAAATTGATAACTTGGTATAACCCTACTTTAATATGTTTATGTAATACTTGAATATTTAAGAAGAAACAAACAAAAGAAAAATTGTAAGTCACTTTTGTTCAATTTTTCGACTATTAATTTATATTTTTGATAGTGTATTACTCTAAACTTTATACAAAAAAAATTTAAAAATAAAAGTGCAAAAGAATTTTAAAAAGATAAATAATACGAGTGTTAGCGAAGAGAATATAAACATACAAAATAATGTTTTCTTAATTTCTTCTATTTGATTGGCGTTAAAAATAATAAAATAATATATATTTGTTTAAAATTATACTTTTTAAGCAAAAATAATTATTTTTTAATTAAAAAAATTAACACATAATTTTTTTTTGATGAAAAATTGGGGGGGCCTAAGGCATGTGCCTTAAATTTATCAAGCAAGAGCCGGCCCTGCCCT